TATTTGAACAATCAAAAAGGAAGAAACTTTAATTAAAAATAATAAAAAAGAAAATAACAATTAAAATAAAGCTAATCAAGATATGAGGTACTGAGGCATTGATTTCACCATAATCAATCAATATGAATTTTGGATTAATATACTTTTAAAAACAATTTTTTGAGTACATGTGATGGCGGATTTCCCTAAATTAACTACAAGCTTTCTCAAGTCAAGTTAATCCTTCACTTGTTTATTAAATTAGTCATGTCTCTATATAATTTTAAACAAACTAATGGGTATTAAATTCTATAGAAATCTCTAACTTAAGAAGGGGGAGCTCCTAACTCTCTTCTCCTCCTCCACTACCACATGTGAGCTAATTGCTTCTCAGTCTCATAGCCTAACACACGGTTTATATTATTATTGGTCTAATTTATGCAATTCTTTCTTAAGTTTATGCATAAATCACTAAAACAATTGAAAGGTGATTATGCTTCTAATGCATTAAGTTCAATAATATAAACTTCTCATGCGAATAACTTTAATTGAAAGTATAAAATCACAAAATCTGTATTAAATTGATTAGGCTACATCATAGCCTTAATAAAATCAATTATTTCATAATAAAAATAATAAAATCTGAAATGATAATTATGAACATAAGAATATCAAAGAAGAATAAAACCTAATTTAAGAAAATTAAACTCTTTGATCTTTTACTATTGATGAATTTTTTATCTTGATCTCCAAAAGTGCCCAAAAGAAGGCTACCATAAGCCTCTTAAAGCTCTCTCAATTCTGAATTTGGAAGGGTATTTATCGGATTTTAGATACCCTAATTGGAATAGAAGTGGGATCCACACCTAAAATAATAAATTAAACATGGATTTTCTGAAAATCGTGCAAGGGGCAACAGCTTGAACTAGTTGCCGACACCTTCTATTCAGTGCAGAATACCATCACTGTGTCGGGTTTTTGGCTTCTCAGGAATTTATGTGATGGTAAAAATAACAGTCCTAGTCCCTGACTTCTAGATTCTGCACAAGTTAATCCTCAAGTTTTTGCTCTCTGTAATTTACTCTTGAAAATCATGATTGCTTTCAATTAAGTCCTTTCCTACATAAAGAATAAAAATTATGTAAAATCTCATAAAACTCATCCAAACATCAATAATATCAAGGCACAAATTCCACATTAATAGGCATATAAATTCATCTCATCACACTCCTTGTCAACAAATTCCATTGCATGTCCGTGATAGTACTATTTCTTCTCTTACAAACACCATTTTGCTATAGTGTATAAGCTACTATCATCTGCCTTTGGATAACATCGGCTTGACAGAAATCCACAAAATCTTGTGAGTTGTACTCACCACCATGATTTATCACAATATCTTTATGGGACTACCAACCTCATTTTTTACCAGCACTTTAAATTTCTTAAAGGCTTCAAATTTTGTTTACAAGAAGTAAACCCAAGTCTTCTTGCTATAATCATCAACAAAAGAGATAAAATACTTTTTTACCTCTATTAGATACAGGACTAATAGGTCCACAAATGTCATAATGAATTGGCCCCAAAACTCTTCTTGCACTCTAAGATATCCCATTTCATGAAGTTGTTTACTCACAACATAATCTGAACACACTTTTGTTGGAGTTGGAAATTTAAGCAGACCTGCATCCATCTTCTTCTGCTATAGAAATCTCTAGCTACCAAGGTTGAGATATCCAAATCTGTAACAAGCTTCTTTTTTCAATTTGATAGAAAAACAAGAACGACTTGCTTTCTCCAAATATAGTGTAAGCATTCTGTTAGCTATCATGTTAACTGTTGTAAGCCATGCTTTGCATCATGAACTTGACAAAAACCATCATTGATAAGAATTTCACAACCCTTTTGTAGAAGTTGTCCCACATTCAACAAGTTTGTTTTCAAATTTGGCAGATACAAAACATTACAAATAACCTTCAAAGAATTGTCCTTGGCTCATATTTGCACATTTCCTTTTCCCTTGATAGAAACAGTAGAGTTGTCTCCAAAACTTTATAGTGGGGCAGAAACATTTGTCCAAGATAGAGAACACTATTTTATCTCCACGCATATGATTATTGCATTCAGTGTCTTGATAACACTTATTTTTATCAGTGGTTTCTTTAAGATTAGACACCATCAAAACAAATGTTTCTTCTTTGTTTACCTCTTGTTCTCCAAGGTGAGATTTTCTCCTCCATTTTTATTTAAATTAGCAAAGCACTCATTCTAATGGTGACCATACCTATGGCACTGATAACATTCAATATTTGATTTATCCATTAACTTGGATTTGTAATCTGTCACTTGATGATCACAACATCTCCATTTTTGTCTCTAATTTCCAGTGATATTCTTTTTATACTTACAAAAGTCAATGATGTACACCAATTGTGCATATTCTAGAGTGTTTCTTTTTTCTTTTTTTTTTTTGTTTACAATATTTTAATTTACTATAC